ATACCAAGAAAATTATGTGATATATAAAAAATCATATGATATATCATTATATTCTCATGGTTGTTATTTAGTTTAATTATGAAGCATAAATAAGCCAAAAAAGTTAATGCAGTAGAAAGAAACTAGAAATAGGGAAGTTGACTGTCAAGTATCTTTCCTTGTTTTAGGATTTAGGGTGTAATATTTCCCATATGTGTTTGGTTGACAGTCCAGAGGTCCCCTTATGTTAAGGAGGGACCATTTATTCTCTAATAACTCCACTGAAGAAAATCTGTCCCCCTGAGTCCTCCATTAGACAATATAATAAATCCCTAGGGCATTAGTAAGTTACTGTTCACGGTGAAGCTATTGAAGACATTGGGCCATGTCAGAAGAACGAAAGAGCTGATATGAAAGGGCCAATGTGGGATAATTTAAGCATTAAAAAGAATAATGCATGTAATTGATGGAAACGCATTGAGTATACACAAGCCAGTGAGTTCATTATGAAACTAAAAAGAGTGAGTCCCCTCCCCAGACAGAAACAAAAGCAGTACTTTGGTTGCCTTTGGAGATAACAGGGGCACCTCATGGTAACTAGCGTGATTTAAAATTGTCAGTTGAAAGGAAAGATTTAAGCATTTATCCTGCCCTTCCTGTTTTAAGTGTATTTTAGGATAACCAAATAGTCCTAGATGACGAGAAGAATTGCAGCTAGTAAATGTGGCAGCGTGGCAGAATATTTGCAAGCCCTAATGAAATAATTGAGTTAGGCAAAAATCATGAGTGGATGAAACCATGAGGTGAAAGGGGAACTTGACACGGGAGGGGCGGGCTTTCACAGCTGAGCACAGGCATCGGCACGAGGTCAGTCGCCAAGGTGCTCCTGACGTCATGCAGTGGGAAGGCACAGCACCACCTGGGAAGCATTCTTGCTGAAACAAGTTGAACTTTCTTCGTCAAGCCTTTACAGCTAATTTCCCGTTTGGAGGTTATAGCAACAAGTTTGGTGACACCACGAGGAAGCAAACAGACAGATCTAGAACGTGAGACATACTAATTGAGGAAAACTGACTAAAACAAGTCAGTGGCTGCTTACGACTGAATGAGACTTGAGGGACATAATAAGCAAATGCAAGACATGAACCTTGTTTGATCCTGACTTAGACACACTAACTACAAACAATGTTGTTGAGACAACTAGAGAAATTTGAATATGGACTCTTTTAGGGAATTACTGTTAATTTGGTATGACATTGTGGTTATATAACAAAAGGTCCATTTTTAAGAAACTTTTAATTTTGAAATAGTTTTAGACTTATAGAAATGTTGCAAAAAAGAATTCCTATACACCCTTCACCCAGCTGCCCCCAAACCCCTAAGCTATATAATCATGGTACAATTATCCCATATACAGCTATTGAAACCAGGAACTTAACATTGAGACAATACTAATAACTGATCACAGACTTTTCAGGATTCTCTGATCATCCCTTCTAATGTCCCTTTTCTGGTCCAGGATCCAATCCAGGGTCCACGTTGCATTTAGTTGTCAGATCTCCCTCATCTCCTCTACTCTAGAACTGTTCCTCAGCCTTTCTTCATCTGTCAGGACCTTGACACTTCTGAAGAGGACAGCCAGTTATTTTGTTATTTGGATTTGCTTGCTGTTTTCTCAAGACTAGATTAAGGTCATGCATTTTTGGTAGATTACTGCAGAAGTGATGTTGTGCCCTTCTCAGTGGGTCTTGTCAGGAGTAAGATGATGCCAATATGTCTTTCACGAGGCCCATGCTTTAGACACGTATTGAAGATGTACAGGTGAAATAACATGATGTCTGGGATTTGCTTAAAAATACTTTGGGCAAAAAAACAGAGGGGAGAGTAGTAATAGATGAAGCAGGAGTGACAATACCTTGATAATTCTAGCACCTAGGTGATGGGTATATGTGGGTTTATTATACAATTCTCTGTACTTTTGTTTTTGTTTGATATTTTTCATAGTGAAAATTAGCACTCCCCTCATGAAGAGTATCCTCAATTATAGGAAATTTAGTATAAGAACATAGGCTTTTCCCTCATCTGTTTCCATTTTTGTTTGCATTTTTCATTTATGGATTAAATGTAATGTGACAACTTTGATGCTTATGATGACATTTTTGGTGATAACGTGTTTCTTTTGTTTATATAGCTGTGAGTATTGCGTTCCTTGTTGGTCTGGCGCTCATCATTGTGGTGTCCTTTCTAAGGTTCTTGCTGAGGTAAGCAGATGTTCAGGAAGGACACAATTGAGTAAAATAGAATACAGAGGTAATATATTCAGAAAGGTAGTTTGCCCCTTCAAATGACCATTATTCTTTGATTAAATGAATACTTCTTGTGTCCACCATGCCCAGTCCAGTCCTAGGCAGTGGGGACTAAATGTAGAAAAAGAGATGGTCCGTGACTTCAGGGAAATGATAACTTGGTTCTAATGGATCTTTGCCTTCAATCCTCCCACATGGCTGAAAAAGTAGAAGAAAATGCTTGAGAAATGATTATTTCTTTAGAGGATCTCACATCCTGCTTCGAAGAGAGTGGAGGTGGCCTGTGATGATTTTGGGAGGCGGCTGCTGTACTGGACCCTCTTCATCATCTCGGGCTCTGAGCCCGGAGGCCATCCCCTCTAGCCCCAGCCTCCCAGCTCCTCCCAGCTCCTCCCAGCCCCTCCCAGCCCAAGGACCTGGCAGCAGAGATGGAGGAGGAGATGTGGTACCTCCAACCTCAGCGTGGACTCGCTTTTCCTTGGTTAGGGTTAGCTGGGAGGGGGAATTCCTTCTCCTCTGCCTGATTAACAGCAATTCTGGGGAGAATGAATTAGTAGCCTGGAAAAGAAAAACAAAGTAAAGTAGATCAGGCCTGGTAAATCACCTTTCAAAGGAAAATTCTTTCATGTTTTAAAGGGAATAAGATTGATTGAATTTTCATATGCCCAGCCTGTTAGGGTCTCAGGAAAGATCGTAGATTTTATTGATGAGCTGTATCCAAGTTGGATGAAAGAACCTAGCCTTTAAGTCTGCTAGCATGGGGAAACCCTGTGACTTTGGGGAGTTTAGGCACTCTGACCCTCTACCTTGTGTGTCCTAGAAATAGTGTAATTCCTATAGCACAGGAGAAGCCTGACTGTGTGAGGGTAAAAGAACTACTTGCCGCTCAGCAGACGTTTAACCTAACTGCTTTTTAGGGAGAGAGCATAAGCCTAGCAGAGGAGTTTCATTTCTTTGAATTAAGATATTATCTTGTCAATCTTTTGATAAGATGCAAATGATGTTCAGGTTCATTAGGGTGTTTTCATTTGGTGCTTTTAAGATGAATGGATCTATTCCATCATGTTTTAAAGTAACTGGTAGCTGATATCAAGCTCTTGCTAAGGGAAGAATTCCACCCTTCTCACTGTGGAATTGAAACGCCTTTTTGCATGTGATTCTGCCTTGGCAGCCTGCTTGGCAGCCTTGCTTTGTTGGCAAAGCAAGAGTCCCTTGTACATTGCCCTGTCACTTTCCAGCATGCCCACGAAAGTCTGGGGAAGTTCAGATTTGTCTGAACCAGAAAAGAATCTGAAAAAGTAGTAAGAATAAAGCATCTCTTTCCTTTTCACTTGGAGAACAAGCATGTTCAAGAAAATTAACTGCTTTTTTTTCCATTTTAATTTTTAAATATCTTAACTTCTCCTTTTAACTCTTCCTTAGATGGCTCTATTTTAACGTTTTTCATGTGATGGTGATGTTATTAGTGCTGAATAAACTAGAAATGGGAGTTGAGTTGTGGGGAGAAAAACAGAAGAAATTAAAAATGTATGCATTGGATATACGGATCACATCTGGATACTGATTTGAACAATTAAACTGTAAAAAATCTATGAGACAGGGAAATTGAACTGGCTATTTGATGATATTAAGGAATTATTAATAATATTTTAAAATGCAATAACAGTATTGTAGGTATGTTTAAAAATGAAAAGAGTCCTTATCTTTTACTGATGCATACTGAGGTATTTATGGATGAAATTATGTGATGTCTGTGATTTTCTTTAAAATGATCCATCCAAGGCAGGACAGAGGGCAGTGGGTGGGGTATAGACGAGGTCAGATGGACCGTGTGTAGGTGCTTGTTGAAGCTGGGTGATGGGTCCATGGCGGCCCATTATACTAGCTTGTCTACTTCTGCGTATGCTTGAAACTTTGCAAGACCAAAAAGAAAAAAAGGAAAGAAAATCCTATGTATTGGATAATTTAAATGTGCAAATTTTATGCAAAACATGTTTTTCCTGGGCTAAAATATACTTTTTTTTAATTAGAAATTTATTTTCGACTTCCTAAAATCTTCCATAGATGAGCATGAAATTGATTGCACTTTTCAGTATGAAGAGAGCTGGAAACACAGAACATAAAAGAACTTGCATTAAGTTAGAAATGTTATATTTGATTTCCACTAGAAAGTCCTTGATGATTTACAACCAAACTAAGATGTGCATTCTCTTGATTTTCTAATCAAAGAATTGTACTTACCAAAACTAAACATTTAATTATTCTCATATACCAAATAAAAAATACTAAGTATTCATTATTATTTGAAAAATAATAAATTGGCCTATGAGTTCTGAGTCCAAAAACACCGGTTTGCCGAGGTTGTTGGGTTGAGAAAGGGTTCTCTGTGGACTTCAGTAATCAAAGGTGGGGACATAGACCTAGAAAAGTTCTTGTTCTTATCGGCACGACAAACAAAAGGAAAGTGAAACCATCCGAGAAAATTTCGGGATTGTGAATAACACACAATATTATCACATCAAATCATTCAACAATCTGTAATGTATTGAAAATCAGGATCATTTCCACTTAAAAATGAAAAACAGGGTAAGTGAACCAAATCAGAATATAAATATTATGTGAAAGAGCTAAGATACACTTTTTTAAAGATTTTTTTCCAGGTATAAATCTCATTTTAAAGAAAAACCAGTAAAAATATTTATCTTTTATTAATCATGTAAATCAATTTTATATCATCTGGATATCATTTTGAACTAAAGCACCCATCTAGGAAAAAGAACCCAATGATGAACTATTTGAATCACTCCAAAGTTACTTTCAAACTTTCTCAGTGTGCATATATGCATTTTTATTTAGTGATAATCGCATCTGCGTATTGGGTTTTGCTTTTTGTATTTAATGGTTTATATTCGTATTTCTTTGTATGGACAGAGCCCACATTCTTGTGATTTTCCTAGCTGTATCTCCTCTGTCACCAGCTGCCACATACTGTGTTTAGTCTTCCTGTATTGAGTGCATTTGGTTGTTTACAATTTTTTGCTATTCTAATTTTAATAGTATTATTATCAAGAATTCCAGCCACAGGGAATGCTGATCCCATTTCACTCGCACAACAGCTCTTGAATGAAGGCACTATCATTATTCCTATTTCATTGATGAGGACACTGTGCTGTAAACGTCAGGCGTTCATAAGTACTGCTACTATGAACTCTGATTTCTATTTTTGTTTTGTTAAGAAACTTTAAAATGTTTAATTCTTTGACTTGTATAGAATACGAACTTTAAAATTTTCTTTCAATTTGACATCCAATCATTTTGAAAATTCTGCCAAATGAAATATATTAACTGAGCCTTTTATTTGTTTACAGTTTGGATGACTTTAATAATTGGATTTCTAAGGCAATAAATTCCCGGGAAACTGATCGCCTCATCAATTCTGTGAGTTATTAGAATGTGTCGTCTGTGGTCTGGGTGGTTTTCTAGATTTGGAATGTGCAGTTCCCTATTTAATCATCACTGTTATCTGGCTTACTTAGTCTTATCTGTATTGTGGAAGGCCAGGTTGTGTGTCCTGCGTGCCTTCTCCCAGCTCCGGGAGGGCGCATCCCTTCTCTCTGCGGTGTGGCTGGGCCTCCGGGCTCATGGGATGCATGCTGTGGAGATGTGCTTCACTCTGCAGGCAGTTCTGTTGGACTGGTCCAGTTAAGTGGAGAGAGCGTCAAGATTAAAACAAAAGCATAAGAGACGTCAATGTGAAATCTATAAATATGATGGCCTGCTGTAATGATTGGAACATGTTATTGGTGTTAATAAATTCATATGGACATATTTGCTGGTACACTTGTACCGGGTGCACTTCTGGACCAGTTCTCTGTGGTCATTTATCAATATGGCCACTGCAAGCACAGCAGGAGACACAAAAATCAAAGTGAAAAACCAGACCTCTAGATGGGATCTGTACAAGAGGAAAGTATTCAGACCAACGGTCTTTAGTTTTCCGCTCTGTTAATTTCTTCCCTAAAAAACAGGAAAATGAAATTTACTCCTTAGCATTGTGAATTGTCATGTCTTTCTCCCCTTTCTCTGAAGGAGCTGGGCTCTCCAAGCAGGGCAGACCCGCTTGCTGGCGCTCCCCAGGTGGAGGCGTGGGCTCCGTCTGCAGCAGCGCAGCGCCTCCGCTGTGTGGACACGTTCAGGGGGTACGTGGGGCTCCCTTGTAACACGGTGTGTGCGGGTAGTCTAGGACTACACATAAACACACTTTTAACTTAAGATATTTTACATATCTTTTGCTTTCTAGGCTAGACAGGATTTCTTGCTGTAGACACAAATCAGTGGCCTCTCCCTCCTTGAGGACTGTCGTGATAGCCAGTTCATATGTTGCTAGAGAGGAGTAGTGGGACAAGGCCTGAGCCAGCGGCCACTGGTGTGTGGATCCTGCCGAGTTAAGGTCATTCACATTTGGGCACGTAGCTCTACATAGGGGACCCTGTCCTTCTGCGCCCCTGTGTCCAGTCAGCAGCCTGACAAATGAGAAGATGTACCAGTCTAGAAACGAAACACCAGCCTGCGGAAGAGTCAGTCCTCATCCTTCATCCCTCTAGCAAAACAGCTGGATTGTCAGGCCCTTTAGATAGCAAATCCACAGAGTCATACAGTACCCTGTTGCTATTTTATAGTTCTGGTAGAAGAATGAAGGCTAGGACCAAACTCTGAAAATAAAGTATAAAACTATATAGCTGAAAATAAGTATCTAGGTATCAGGTCTTCCATTTCTACCCACTGAGGCCTTTTAAACCCCGTGGTAACCATATAATCCTGTCCCAGCCTCACCAGAGCTCTGAGTGCTCCTGGTGTGTGTATTTGAGGCCAGGTAATAATAGCAATAATGGTAATAATAATCATGACAATTGCTGACCAATTTTAACTTCTTACTGTGTTCCAGGCACTGTTCTAACTTGTCTTCATTTATTTAATCTCTTAGCAATCCTGTGAGGTATCTACTTTTTTTTTTTAATTTTTTTAATTAATTAATTTATTATTATTATTATTTGTTTTTGTGAGGAAGATCAGCCCTGAGCTAACATCTACCAATCCTCCTCTTTTTGCTGAGGAAGACTGGCCCTGGGCTAACATCTGTGCCCATCTTCCTCTACTTTATATGGGACGCCGCCACAGCATGGCTTGACAAGCGGTGTGTCGGTGCGCGCCTGGGATCCGAACCTTCGAACCCTGGGCCGCCACAGCAGAGCACGCGCACTTAACCACCATGCCACAATGCCAGCCCAGTATCTGCTTTTAATGTACCGGTTTTATAGGTGAAGAAATTGAGCCACAGTGTTAAGTAACTTGCACAAGGTCACTCAGGGACACAGTGGGACAGCCAGGATTTGATTCCAGGCAGTTGGGCTCCAAAGTTCCCACAAATTACGCCATAAACATACTAAAGTCTTCATTCCTGCGTTCTGTGGAAACAGCATCCAATAGCATATTCACAATCTGTTTTATTGTATTCCTCTTTCTCTCCAGTTCTCATTGCCGCTATTGGAGATGACATGTTCACAGGTGGAAAGGAACTAGCATTTATTAAGTACCTGAAATGTGCTGAGCACTGGTTTGGTGCTCTAATATACATTATCTCCTTAATAGTCCTGATGGTCCCTAGGTAAGGGGTGTTCCCTCTTTTACAGAGAAGCGTTCTGAGATAATTGATGAGAGTCCTGCCCAAGGTCTTATGGCTAATGAGAGAGAAGGACCCAAGAGTTGAGCCCTCAGCTCTGACTCTAATGCCTGCACACCTTCTACGACAGTTCTTTAACCTGAGACATCTGAATAATTAGCAAAAAATTGAGTAACCGGAAATGTTTTGCTTTGTTTTCCGGTTATACAGTTTAGTGTCACTGTACGTTTTTCTTAAGACATCATGTTGTAAACGTTCGCAACAGAAGGACTGTAGTGTAGGGCCCTGTTGTGGTGACTAGAAGCAGTAATTTCCACTCTTGAGGTGTCGTCTTGTGTCATGACTGCACCTTGTGAGTGTAAGTGTGTCTCCTGCCGGGCCACTCCTTGTCACAGGCACCAGCCCTGAGAGCCTGCTCCTTGTTGCTTTACAGGATAGCTCTCATCATCATGGTCTTCGTTAACTACGGAGGAGGGAGATACTGGTACTTCAAACATGCGAGTTGGAATGGTGAGACATTTCCTAAAGGTAGCATTGCTTACATAGACCCCTCAGAGAACTGTGGGTGGGACAGTCACTCAGCATTGCCCCTAGGAGCTCCAGAGATGAGGCCCCACCAACCTCCTTTGAGCCGCTGAGCTCCTGCCCCCTGGAATGACCTTCATATTCTTCTGTTGGCCCTTTAGTTTCATTCTCCCCTTTGTGTGCTGTGGCTCTCTGATGCTTCACTGTGAGAACACGCTGGCCCAGAGGTCTCTGCAGTAGGACTGTGAGGCTCTGCAGAGGATGTGAAGAATTTAGTTGTAAATGACCCTTGTCATATTCTAGGTATACCTTTTATTATAGCCATGTGGGAGTTCTGCCTTCTAAAACTCATGGTCCCCCTTGGGTTGCCATTGAACTGGGGTTGGTCTGAGTGGTGCTGAGTAATGGCTTTGAGTGTAACTCAGTAGTTGGTTTAAGAATGGGTTTTGAACAGCTCCACTTAAAGATAACAAACTTGTCCACAAGCTTCTAGTATGGTTCTCCTGTGCCCAGTTATGTTCTTAGGTAATTCCCCAGGCCCAGTGACTGGTTGCAGAGTCCCCAGGGAGGTCTCTGTGTTTCTTCGCAGTGAACTCTCTGAGTTTACTTTCCCTGTCAGTATGTGATGGAATCCATTCTAGATTTAGGAAGCACTTACATTCCAGAGTCCTTTTCCTCACTCTTTGTGCTTGTGTTATTTTGCAGGACTGACAGTGGCTGACCTTGTGTTCCCATGGTGAGTTGGCAGTCTACCACCAGCTCATCTGTAGGTCATCTCCATTTTTTTTTTCAGCTGATGCTGGAGCCTGTCTCTGAGACCAGCCTTGATTCTGGGCTGCAGGCCTGTGTTGCTCACAGGTCTCTGCTCTTACAAGGTTCTTCTTAAAGCTGTGTTACCGAATAGTTCTCATACTTGGCATAGTGCTTATCTAAGACATGCACACATAGGGCCGGCCCCGTGGCTTAGCGGTTAAGTGTGCGTGCTCCGCTGCTGGCAGCCCGGGTTCGGATCCCAGGCGCGCACTGATGCACCGCTTCTCTGGCCATGCTGAGGCCGCGTCCCACATACAGCAACTAGAAGGATGTGCAGCTATGACATGCAACTATCTACTGGGACTTTGGGGGAAAAAATAAATAAATAAAATTAAGACATGCACACATAAAAGATGAGTGATTTGGGAACACATTTTGTTAGTGTAGATTATAATTTACAAGATCTGGGAATCTTGTAAGAAATCATAAATTCTGAATATGTAGTTAAATTCCACTAATCCTGAAAACAAGTATTTTTAGGAAATAAAATCATATTTCCTAAAAGAAATGCAGTATGTTGGTATCAGGGCATTAGGATAAGTGTGAACAGGGCAGTGATAGTAGCAAATCACAGTGTGAAATTAGAGTGCAGTCACCAAACCCTGTGTCTGATCATCGTGGCTTGTTCACCTTGCTGAGGGGCGATGCCCTCCGATACAGTGTGGAGTGGTGTCTGCTGTGGTGCTCGGAGCGACTTTGCTCCATCGTTAGGAGGTGGTGCTGGCCGGTGGCTTGTGTCTTCGGTCCCTTGTGTTTCATGGCTAATATGAACTCAGGTTTTGGGGAGAGTTCCTTTTTGAGACAGATTTGGGTAGGAGGAGTTCTGTGTGCCTGCAGGCCTGGTAATGATTTATGTGCATTCTCTGTGAGGTTCCCTGCAGGAAAGTGGCTTGGTTCCTGTTCCTGTTGCTACAGTCTTTTACCCCAGTTAGGTGTCTCCAAGAAGGGAAGCCAGGAGACACGGAGGAACACAGCCAGAGCAGACTTTCATCTCTGTTAACCCCTTGCCAAATAATTAGACATATGAGTGTTCTGACTTTTTTTCAAAAAGAGGTAATTTAGTACAGTGAAAGAAAGCAAGAAAAGAGATGTGTGGCTGAGACAAAATCAGAAAAAAAAATGTAGCTTTCATTTTTTTTCAGGAGCAAGAGTGGGTTAGAAATGATTGAAATGTTGTGCTTGTTCCTCGAGGACTCTGAGGGTGACCCAGTGACTGGGGAGTTATTTGGATGGCAGCATCCTCATCATCATTTCTCTTTGAGAACTAAATGGAGGTTGTCCGTGGAAGTCGTGCTTAGTCCTGAAGACTTTCCTCCTGAGACAGGACTTGGAGGCCACAAACTTTACAGCCCAGCAGGGCTACTTTCTGACTCTTCCTCCACTATTAACCCGATGTTATTGCAATAATTGGCTACTTTAAAAAATCATGTGTTGCTTGTGTTATGTAGTAGATTATAAAATATTAGTGATATAGAGACAAAAAAAATTGGAAACGGTTACCTTATATTAATAGCTGTGTTTTTTTTAGGTTTGTATTTATTATGGGATCTTCGATTTTTCTTTCAATGACCTCCATACTGAAGCGGGGATGTTCAAAATTCAGATTGCTGGGGAAAATTGCGTGGAGGAGTTTCCTGTTAATCTCTATAGGAATCATCATTGTGAACCCCAATTATTGCCTTGGTCCATGTAAGTGTTTTTCCCCTCCATTTATATATATTCAGGTTGAAATATGGAAACTACGTGTTATAATTTGAAAGAAATGTAATTCCTTCATCTCAGATACCTGCAAAAAGTTATTAGAAAAGTGTATACGATGCTGGTATAACTTGGGGCATTGTTATTATTATCTTGGAATTTTAGACCTGGGAGGAGCCTCCAAGACCACTAAGACCCTTATGTTGTGCAAAGGAAGACTCTGAGGCCAGGAGAGGTGGAAGTGCTTTCTCCAGACGGTCTAAGTGAAGTGAAGGGCAGAGTAGGGACGAGAGCAGGTCCCCTGGTTCTCAGAGCCTCCCTGCTGCCACTTGAGTCTCATCAGCTCTCATGACAAGGCTGTCGTGTGGTAATGCAAGATCCCGCCTCTGTCGTCTCCTGTGTGCCAGCAGGGTGCCGGAAGGAATGACGTTTTTGCCGTCATTTTAGCGGTGCGAGTGAGACAGGAAAGCTGAGGGAGGGAAGTCCGCCCTATGCTGGGACCCAGATCAGAGTCGGGGAAGGCAGTGGTCGCTGTCCTCAAGGGACTCTCAGTGTCATTAGCAGAAGAGGACACAAATATCTAGACAGGAGCCAAATGAAGCCCTCAGACTTGAGGCATGAGGGGGAGTAGATGTCACTTCGAGTTGGGGTCATAAGGGAAGGTGTCACATGAGAGTTGATTTAAGTTATCTCCAAAAGTGGGCCACTGTTCCCAGTAGGATTCGTTATAGGGTTACACTCTTCCAGTGAAAGTCATGTAGTCTGTCGGGCAAGGAGAGGCCGTCAGTGGCCTGTGCTGGATCTTTAAGTTCCTGGTGGATGTGAGAGTTGAATCTGTAGTCCTAACGGGAAAGGGCCGGAGATGAACTTCAGGGCCAAGGGTCGTCCTGGCTCTGTGCCCACACGTGAGGAAGACACTCTTGTTCTTATCCCAGTCTCCCCGCTGGCCAGCTGTCTGCTGTGAGTCTGAGCCATGTCTCCTGACTGTATGTATTTCCATCTCCAAGAGCCTAAAAAAGACTTACTTAGGTGTAACAAAGATATGTCTTCCCCCTTAGAAACAGCTGATGTCATGGGTGAGATGAGAAGTGCTGGCTGACTCTTCACCTCACTGTCCCTTCTGCAGTGTCTTGGGACAAGTTGCGAATCCCTGGCGTGCTCCAGCGGTTGGGGGTGACGTACTTTGTGGTTGCCGTGCTGGAACTCCTCTTTGCTAAACCTGTGCCTGAAAGTTGTGCCTCGGTGAGAAACCTATTTAACAAAAGAGGGGAGGGGCCGGCCTGGTGGCTTAGCGGTTAAGTGCGCGCTCTGCTGCTGGCGGCCCAGTTTCGGATCCCAGGCGCGCCGACGCACCGCTTGTCAGGCCATGCTGTGGCGGCGTCCCATATAAAGTGGAGGAAGATGGGCACGGATGTTAGCCCAGGGCCAGTCTTCCGCAGCAGAAAGAGGAGGATTGGCATGGATGTTAGCTCAGGGCTGATCTTCCTCACAAAAAAAAAAACCAAAAACCCGGGGGGGGGGGCGGCAATCATTGTATGGTTTTTAGAACTTTCTTTAGTCCTGAGTGCAGTACTGTACTTCAATAGACTTTAACTCTGTTAGTCAAATGCTTTTTTTTTTCCTTTAATTAGTTATTTTTATTTAGTCTTTACATCATTCATTTTTTTTATTGTGGTAAAAAACACATAAGATTTACTCTGTTAACAAATTTTTAAGTGTCCAGTAATCAAATGCATTTTGATGGCATTAAATAATATCACCATCATCCATCTCTTGGGGCATTAGTGCCAATTTTTCAATTTCTTTGTGGTTCAAGATATACAAAAAACTTAGAACATTTCACTGTCTACACAAATGCTAGAAAGGTGCAACTTGGAGAGGAAGTGCCAAGATAGGGATGGGAGAATGACAGAGTTGTCCTGGGCTATTTCACATTTCTTCTTTGTAAGAAGTATGTGAGAGGCTCACCACTTGGTGATTACTTTTTGTCTTACTATAAACTGCTGAGTTGAGTTTACCAAGGTGACAGCTATTTTGTTTTCCCCAAGCAGAAATAGAAATTCAGGTGGAAATGTTTAAACTCTTCATTTGGGGTCCTACTTCACAATAAATTAATAAAGCTGTATTCGTTTTCCAGCTTCTTTCATATATGTAACTAGCAAATTCATCACTGAATCCCGAATTCTCTTGGTTCTTCCGGTAGTGAGCGCTCGGTTATATGTTCTTGAGGTGCATTTAATCATTATCCCTTTACCTCCTCTGCCCTCCCGTTGGTGTATCCTTGCCCTCTGCCATAGATTTCCTGAAGGAGGGGTGAGACTCGACATGGGCAAGTGAACACAAGCTTGTTGGCCGCATGTGGGGCCTGAGGGTCTGTGGAGGCTTGTCCGCCATGGTGGAGCAGGGGGTCGGGTGGGACACCAAGAATAGGTGGGCTGCACCCTTCCTCCTCCAACCAGAACAGCTCTGAATGTTTAAATTTCGTTTTCCTTTTTTAAAATTTGTTTTTAATTTCTTTTTTTTGTCAGCTTTATTGACATATAATTCACTTACCATAAAACTCCCATGTTTCAAGTATCCAGTTCAGTGATATTTAGTATATTCACAGAGTTGTGCAGTGATCACCACTATCCAATTCTAGAACATTTTTATTACTCCAGAAAGAAAGCTCATACTCACTACCAGCCTCTCCCCATTCCCCCAGCCCTAGGCAACCTCTAATCTAGTTTCTGTCTCTATAGATTTGCCTGTTTGGACATTCCGTTTCATATAAATGGGATTATTGAGTATGTGGTTTTTTGTGTCTGGCTTCTTTCACTTGGCATAGTGTTTTTCAAGGTTTATCCATGTTGTGCCATGTGTCAGGACTTGATTCCTTTTTACTGCTGAATAATATTCCATTTTATGAGTGTACCACATTTTGTATCCATTCATCAGTTGGTGGATATTTGACTTGTTTCCACTTTTTGGCTGTTATAAATAATGATTCTGTGTACATTTGTGTACAAGTTTTTATGTGAATGTATTGGGTAAAGGATTAGAATTGTCTACTGATATCTTTTTTTGTGTGAGGAAGATCAGCCCTGAGCTAACATCTGATGCCAATCCTTCTCTTTTTGCTGAGGAAGACTGGCCCTGGGCCAACATCTGTGCCCTTCTTCCTCTACTTTATATGGGACGCTGCCACAGCTTGGCTTCACAAGCGGTCCCTCGGTGCGTGCCTGGGATCCGAACCTGCGAACCCCGGGCTGCTGAAGCGGAGTGTGCACACTTAACCGCTGCACCACTCGGCCGGCCCCCACTGGTTTCTTTTTAACTAATGTTTTACTGTGATATTTCATAGAGAGGGAGCATCTAAACAAGAGAATACACAAGGAACAACTGCGTCCGTTGTTGTCTTAGTACCCTAAAGGCCAAGAGAAGAATCGCAGGGGATCTCCCAAATACATATACTGCATGTTATTTTTGGTTCTCCTTGCGTCTGGTCCATATATGTTTTCATGCCCTCCCTCAGGAGAGGGGCTGCTCTTCTCTTCGAGACGTCCTGTGCGGCTGGCCCCAGTGGCTCTTCATCCTGATGCTGGAAAGCATCTGGCTGGGTTTGACCTTCCTCTTGCCTGTTCCTGGATGCCCCACGTAAGTGAGCCGCGTAGGTTATCCCTTTTTGCATGTCGTTTTCTGCCAGTCAGAAGAATTCTCTTCCCCTCTTTCTTCTCCTTTGAGGCACACTTCGTATTGGGAGAGGAGTCTGGTGTGTGTCCAGAGAAGTGTCTCAAGGAGGTTTTTTTCAGGGTCAGTTTGAAGGGAAGGTGGGCTTCCCGCCTTGACATGCCAAAGCAGCCTTGGCGAGCGCGCAGCGCTGAGGGCTCTGGGGCTGGCGCGTGCTGGAGGCTCGTCGCTGGGCTGCACGGGTAGTCGGTATATGCCCTGCTGCCCTCTGAAGTCTCGTCGATTGAGCCCCTGTTCTCACCCCCCCAGTGGTTACCTGGGCCCCGGTGGCATTGGAGATCTGGGGAAGTACCCGAACTGCACTGGAGGAGCTGCCGGCCACATCGACCGCCTGCTTCTGGGAGAGGGCCACCTTTACCAGCGCCCTTCCTCGACTGTGAGTGAGCCCGCCTTATCCTTGGAGCTGGACACCTGCAGCTCTGAAGTAAAGGAAGAGAGAACTGGATGGCCAGTTTTGAACTGTGTCCATCTAATAAGCTATGATGGGAACTAACTTGTGTTTGAAGAGCTGGTGACTTTAGTGACTTTAATGTTCAGGAAGGGGCAGTGTGTAAACATCACTTTGGATTTTAGTGAGAGCACATCGTATCAAGTGTGTAGCGTGGTGCTTTCTGTCTGTCTCGGGTCGGATTTCCTGGCAGCAGACCTGAGACAGAGTTCATCTGTAGGACCTTTATCAGGCAGTCCTTCTGGGGTCAACACTGCCGGGGAACGAAGGGAGCAGGGCTGGGCCCAGGGCGCAGTGGAACTGCGTTGCAGTCACACGAAGGCCTCAGCGGATCTCGTGGGAGGCTGGGGTGGCCCTTCAGAGCTGTTCTGAATTAGGGTGAGGGATTGGGCCCTTGCTGTCCCTGGGTAGGTGTGGACTGCCCCCAGCAAGGGCTGTGGCTCCTAGAGAGGCAGCTCTTCACTCAGGGATGCGTCTAGAAGAGGGACTTGGCTGAGAGCTTCTGGCCGTTAATCATTCTAGCAGCTGGGGAATGAGCGCTTCCGTCCTGAAAGGGGCAGGCGGGGTGTCTGGGGTCCACGGCAGTGTCCACCACACTGGACAGTGCCAAACTCCGGCAGTTTCCACAATAACAATTTCGTTTATAATACAAGAATACAAATGTATTTTTAGTGATTTTTGCCTTAGAAGAAGATAGGAAGCGTTGATGGTACGCAAGGTTGACCAGATAGTGACCCTGAGGATGGCGGAGGTGGGTGCCCAGTGTCTGACCACGTGTGGTCTCGGGCTGTCATGTGCATGTGCACGTCAGTGAGGGCATGCCCCTCTCGCCTGTCTTGTCAGGTGCTGTATCACACCCAGGTGGCCTATGACCCGGAAGGCATCCTGGGGACCATCAACTCCATTGTGATGGCATTCCTAGGAGTTCAGGTATCTCTTCATTTCATTAGGATACATTTTTCTGACAGTTTGTGATGACTGATTCAGTGTTCATTCAAAACCTATTTCATTAAAGTATGTAATTGGAAGCATATCTTCTTCTGTGTATTACAGGTCTCATAAATTCTGTTTGTGTTTGACAGATTGTCACAGCTAGAAGTTACTAAAATTCAGCACATTCAAATAATTAGGTATAATTTGTATATCTCAAAAAAATTCTTATTATTTGTATGGCTTATCGTAGCAGTGGAGGCCCAGCAGTTTCTGGGTAAAAGATTTCCCCGCTGGAGTGTGCAGTGTTTGTGTACTGGTGATGAGGGGAAGTCACTTGTCACGCTTCTTTTGTACACGTTATGTGGTTTCAGGTTGTGCATATTCTATGCCAGAGTCAACACAGGTTATTCTTGGTTTGTCTCAGATGCAATTTTGTTAAAATTCTGAACACTCTAGATTTTTCTTTTTAAAGTTCTCCTAATGGGTGTTTGAAACTGTTAGCTGAGGGGAGCTGAGAGAGGAAAAGACATGTAAAGCAGCACTAATAGAACTTGCTGTGATGATGAAAGTATTCTGTATCTGTTCCGTCCGCGTGGCTATTGAGTACTTGAAATGTGGCCAATATGACTGAGGAACTGAATTTTTAATTTTATTTAATTTTAATTAATTTAAATTTAATTTTAAATAGTCACATGTGGCTAGTGGCTCCCATATTGGAGTGTGCAGGTCTAAAGCATATACATTTTGGTGATTAAATCATTTCATCTTTAGAAATACTGCCCTTATCTCTACAGCACTTTACAGTTTACATTGGGTGCTTTTACGTATATTCCTTCAATTGCTGCACGTGCTCTCTGGGCAGATCTGCGCCTGTGGGAGCAGCCCAGGGTGGGGTTAGAGTGCAGACCTGGCCGCCCTGCCGCTCACCAGCTGGGAGCCTGGCCGGGTGCCCTCAGCCCTCTGCTTCACTCGCACCTCCGTCATAAAGGCGTTGAGAGGATGCATTAAGTTAATTCATGTGAAGTTCTAAGAACTGGCACATAGAAAACATTCATACGTTTTAGCTATTATTACAAATTGTTATAAACACTTTCTTACCCTTTGATGTTTTCAGAAATTAATTCCTAATTTCGGGGGATTTTCATGCAAAGGCCGGATTTGACTGTTTTTAGAATGTTTCCCTGCCCACAGCTCCACCCTGTCCCTGTCCCTCTCCTGTACTGCTGCCAGGCTGGGCCATCTGGCAGGCCAGTCTGAGCTCGTCCAGTGGTACTTTTTGGGGGAAACTAAGTGACTTTCCTTGGCTCCCCAGCACCGATGGAGAAAGCCCGAGCCTCTTGGTGAGACCTGCAGGCCCCCCTGCCCACACGTATCAGCCTCCCCACCCACCAGGTGTCTGCATTGCCCGCAGCACCTCGGGGAAGCCATGCTTTCTCTCTGGTTTTGACATTCTTCTGTGCATGCTGTTCCTTTCTACCCAAATGCTCCTGCTTTGCGCTCACACCCTCAACTTGACGGCACCTTCTCTCTCTTCCCCGCGTCCCTCCACTGTGCCTCTCTTTGCTCCTAGTCGAGGGCAGGGGTTCCGCTCCATTCCTCTTTGTTGTCCAGTGTCCCGCAGAGTGCCTGGCAGATGACACGTAAGACATGGATGAATATGATGTGAGAACATAGCTGCGGTGATTCTCTTGCTCATACTGTGTTTCCTTTTCCAGGCAGGAAAAATACTCTTGTATTACAAGGATCAGACCAAAGACATCCTGATCAGATTCACTGCCTGGTCTTGTTTTCTAGTAAGTAACCGACGTTCCTCACTCAGGTTCCATTTCTTCACACGACATATTTAAAAGAAATAAAATGTTTAGCAACTCTGGTATGGCAGCTGTCACCACGTCACAACAGTGACATTCTTCACTTGAATGACAGAGAGGAACAGATCTGTACACCTAAATTCTCAGGTTTGTATTCTTAGGAAAACGTCTTTATAAGTAAGTCAGTGTTTGCCATCAGCAGCCAGTGGGGAGCGCGTGCATGGGTTCTGGTGGCGAGCCGTACCCGAAAGGCCAGGCAAATGGTCACGGTTTCCAGACACCAGCTTCCAGACTTACAGGTGACAAAAGAGTTGTGAGGTTGACTGTCCCTTTGCCCCTGACATAACCGGTCTTCTCAGGACTCGCTCTGATTTATCAGTTAGTTTACCTTCAACTCAGAGGAATGCTGACAAGATATTTTTTGGAGAATATTTTTAGTTATGCATCTTAAAAATATTTTTCCACTTAAAAGAATAAAATATAAGGCACAATTTTCAGCCCTCCCTAAGCAATTCAATAACTAATATTTTTCAGTTTTGAAACACAGTTGTTTTTTGAGATAGTATAAAAAACTAACATCCTTCTCCCCCATTGTAGGGGCTTATTTCTGTTGCTTTGACGAAAGTTTCTGAAAATGAAGGCTTTATTCCAGTAAACAAAAATCTCTGGTAGGTATAGATACTGTCATTTTAGCTCTGGCCATCGAACAGGCTGACACCGGTCGCGCTCGGGAGCACTGAAGCCCTCGTTCCCTCCTCCCAGGTCCATTTCCTACGTCACCACGCTCAGCTCCTTTGCCTTCTTCATCCTGCTCGTCCTGTATCCCGTCGTGGATGTGAAGGGTCTGTGGACAGGAACCCCCTTCTTTTACCCCGGCAAGTCACCCCTCACCCCAGACAGAGTCGATGATGGTGACCCCGTGGGCTGGCCCAGAGACAGTGGAGTGTGCCCAGTGCAGAGGCCTCAAGCCACAGCCCAGGTGGCCTGTTTCCAAGATGCAGGCCTCGGAGGGAGAAAGCATGCTGTCCCAGGCCACGCACGATGTCACTGGCCTGTTCCAAAGCAGTCCGCCCCATTTCACTCACTTAGACCGTGGGGTCATAAATGCGTTCCACTCGTTTCTTCAGGCGATACTGAATTGTGGGGGATCAGAAACGATCTGGGGCATATCATCCTGTTTCTAATACTTGAGAAATGGGGCCATACTTTCTTTCGTAATGTAAACATACTACCTTACAGATTATACATAAGAAATATCGAGACACTATCAAGAGAGAAACAGTATGGCCTAGGTGCAGTTCTGCCTGAAGGCTGAGAGACCTGGTGGTTTCAGTGGCTCAGGTCAGCCTCTGATTCTAGTAAAGCCACATTCTTTGGACCTCAAGTTTTCTGTCTAGAAAGTTAATAATTTTGGCTTTCCTTTCAGATTTAGTATTTAAGAATTACACTTATAAAATAAGTATTTTCTAATAATTTTTTGATATAGTTTACACTTAAGTATAAGTGTGGGCTTTCTGTTTTCTCACTGAATCAAAGTCAAATTTCAAGCATTAAACAGAGGATCAGATGTGACTCAGGCGAACACTCTCTTCTGCGTCTCTCCCTAGGAATGAATTCTATCCTGGTGTACGTCGGCCACGAGGTGTTTGAGAACTACTTCCCCTTTCAGTGGAGGCTGGAGGACGAGCAGTCGCACAAGGAGCATCTCACTCAGAACACAGTTGCCACTGCTCTCTGGGTGCTCATTGCCTACATTCTCTATAAGAAGAAGATATTTTGGAAAATCTGATGGCTCCAGCTGAAATGTGTTACTGGCAGATTCTGGTGCGCCTGGGACTTACTAAAGGGAATCCTTAATGATACGACAGGATGTGTATTTCCAGATTACTGGGGAGATGCAGAGTCCTCGGGCTGGTGGACTGGGACACGGCTCATCAGAGCTCTGCCTGAGTATCTGGGACTTATATATTTGGAATGTAATTGTCTTTTTTCTCCATCTTCTGTATAAATGGATGTATTTGGAACTTCATTCTAAGGATTTCTCATTTAATTTTTCAAAAGGGTGTTCCCACAGGCATTTTGCTCTGTGACGGATAAAACAATCTAAGGTCTGAGTCTCATTGATGTTGTTTTCCTGCAAACTGCCTTTCCGTGTGTGTACGTGCCAACCAGGAACACCATCATTTCTGCTGGGCTGACTACAAAGCTTCTCGAATGCGATGTGTAGTATTGTAGTCTAATATCTTTTGGTTAAGTGCAGTTTAATATTTCAAGAAAGTCAGAGCAATTTCCTTTTCAGATTTGCAAGGCATTGGTGGGTCCAAAAAATGCCTTTCTTTTTTTTGCAAGGAAGATTAGCCCTGAGCTAACATCTGATGCCAATCCTCCTCTTTTTGCCGAGGAAGACTGGCCCTGGGCTAACATCCGTGCCCATCTTCCTCTACTTTATCTGGGACGCCACCACAGTGTGGCTTGACAAGCGGTGCGTCGGTGTGCGCCCGGGATCCGAACTCGCAAACCGCGGGCCGTGGAAGCGGAGCCCGCGCACTCAACCACTGCCCCACCGGGCCGGCCCCAAAAATGCCTTTCTATCAGAAACCATTTTTTCCTTTTTCCCACTTAAAAAAGTTAAAATGTAGTTGTGTTATTTCCAGGCACTCTTGCTTGTATTAGTCATCTGCTAACATCCCTGTCTGTCTGTCCACCTATCTATCTAGTCCATCTATCTACCCCTCCCCCCCCATCTGTCTGTCTCTCTGTGTGTCTTGATGGCAGCTGGCACTTAGACATGTGGCTGTGGAGGACAGAAAGGCCGCTGCTTTGCTCCTGGCTGCAGCTTTGCCGTCCTTGCTGTGTAAGATGCTGGGCAGGGCCCTCCGCCTGTCGGGGCCTCGGTTTCCTCGTCTGTGAGTGAGGGAGACAGTGATGCCCTCTCAGGTCCCTTCCAACTCTTGGACGCAGTGAGGTGGCATACATCAATAGCTTTTCTGAAATCCTTAGAAAAAAAATTTTATTACAGAACACTCTTCAAAATGAATGATAATGAAAAGTTTAAAAAACTCTCATTAGAGTAAATCTTTTCAGAATGACCCTCCACAATGGAGGCAGCTTTCCTGCTCAGAATCACAGAACTGAAGAAATAGTTTCTCAAGAGTGAAGATGGGAGAACACACGAAGAGAAACAGCAATTTTCATACGATGCACATCATTCTTATGAATTTTCTGTGAGAATTCCATTTCTGATGACAATGTGACACTAGGTTGTCCTTTAGAGCATCTTCTCCGGGGTGAGGTGGAACCATCTCAACATTGCTTGAGCTGTCACCACTGTGTGGACGACTCTCTAGTCTGTGTCTCCAGCGTGGACCTGCACCCGGACTCTCATCCCGACTTGTGACTGCTTGCCGGACCCTCCACCTGGACGTCCGCCAGCGTCCAGGCTCACCTCTTCCTCTCCTTCCTCTCCTTTTCTCCTTTGTCTTTTCCTAGCTCTGTGACTAGATCATTCTCCATCTCTAGGTGTAAACACTGCTGTCATCTTTTGCTCACCTTACCTCCTCTATCCCCTTTTTCCCTATTCAGCCATTGCCAGATCTTCTCACTTCTGTCTCCACCTTTCACCTGTAACTTCTCATTCTCATGATCACGGTCTTCTATCTCTAGTCCACACTCCCGTACTCATTTTTAAACTGGCCTCCTTCCCTCAATCCCTTCTTCTGTGAAGTCCCTCTCCATTGCCACCAGATTACGTTTTATAAAGCAGAGCTCAGATCAAATCACCTCTTTATAAAAACTCCCATGGAAGTTGAAGCAGCTTTGCCAGCATATATCACCATCCTCAGTGGGGCCCAACACGCCTTTCCAGCTTTCTCACCCCACCTGCCTTATGCCCACCCTGCCGATCCCAGCCCAGCCAGACTCCTCCCATCCGTCAAATAGCCAGTTCTCTCCTGCTTCTACCTCTGAGTAAAGTCTTCCTTTTTTTTGTCTTGTGTGATGGTTATTTGTGAATCATCTAATTTCCCATGCTAGACTGTGAGCTTGTTAAGGGCAAGAATTATGCCTTGCTTATCTGCATATTCTTCATGGTGCACAGTGCCTTGTACATAGCAGGCACTAAATAAACATTTATTTAAAGCAAAGCAATAGTGGCGGTTTTTATGTTAAATATATAAGAAGTGCTGATAAAATTAGCATGTCTGGAGTGCCCCATGATGTCCACGGAGCTACTGTGTACGGGACAGTCATCTGAGGAACCCTGCTGCTGCTCTTTGGCAGTGAGCCGTTATGGGTGTCACAGCTGTGTCATCCCAACACCCAGCAAGTAAAGCTGAGCTGGGCCTCTCCAACTCACAATGAGTTATCCAGAAGCATTTCTCCAACTGGGGAGCATGTCAGGATGTCTTGACCCGTAAGGAACAGGAAGTACTGATTCAGCTGGGTTACAAGGAAAACATCTCACCTAAGAGGCAGGCGGGCTCCAGCACATCCGCTCGCTCCCAGCCAGCTCACTTCACGGCTGAGATGACCGCCACCGTGGCAGCCACAAACTCAGCAGAGACACTGGAAGGAGAGGGCACCCCCCCTCTGGGTGTCTTGTCATTTTATTAGCCAGAAAACCCTCGCCAGCAGCAGTTATTGGTGCTTTGCTTGACTTTCACAGCCAGCAGCAAAAGGGAACCTGGACTGACACAGCACAGGGCTGTGTGGAGGACGGGGACTACCTCCCTCTGGGAGGGGAGGAGGGAGTGTGCTGGGAGGGAGGGGCAGAGTGGGAAGGGGCTGTGGGAGGAGAGGGACAGAGGACAGGGAGGACAGCCCAAAAGGCTGCAGCAAACACAGGGCACAGTTGCATCTCACAGGGAAGTCGGGGGGTGGGGGTGGTTCTTAGTAATAAAGCAAAAGAATACTATTCTAGAGTAGGGATGTAATAACTCGACATTGTTTATTCGTTTTTTGGTACTTACTTATATTCCTAACTCCTCTTTATAACTAAGTGAATAAACTGCTGTCTTATACTTTACTTCTTTTCACTCTGGGCAATAAAGGGCGTCGTCTATAAATACGTACAGTAATCCAGTTTGTATCAAGAGTATCAGCTTAAACACAATGCCAACATACTAGTTTTTATTTTTCCTTCAATGTAATTCTATTATTTTCCAAATAAATGGGGAGACAAATGGACTTTGAGATAATTTCTCAACATATCTGCCTTTCAGAAACAGATTTCTGTATCAATTATAAGAAACAGGGATAGATCTTTAAAAATGCTAAACAATATGCTGTAGAAGCCATGACCCTGCTAACAATGCAGCTTCTGGTATAATCCCAGCTTTTGAGATTTTTAACATAACTTTTTAACTTTGAAATTAGGTGGGAAAACACGTGGCCGGTGTTTGTCGTTAGCTGCGTATCTTTGTAATCTGTTTTCACCCGAGTGCAGCGAGCCAACAGTCTTCTCTTGGGAATCAGTGTTTGTGGGGCATGAATTCCAGAACAGTGTTTTTCTTCAGGCTGCATGCATTTCCAAATTCAAAGCTGATGGACATGCTGGATGTCTGCATTATGTCCTAAAATGCCTCAGATTTCATAAACCCCTTACCCAATGGTGTACGTCAGAACACTGCAACAGACAAAAGATGCCATTATCTTGCAGGCTTCCGTTTGCAGGATTCCATCCGCAAGGCTAGCTGTACGGACCGCTGCCCTCTCCCCCCGGCGCCGCGCACGGCCTCCCGCAGCGTCTGTTACCCTGTCGGGTTCTGGTGGAACGCTGTCCTGACTGCTGGGACTCCCACTAGGGAAATCAACAATTTTTCAGATTTCCCCGCCTTCCGTGGCCAGCTGTTGGTCCTTGTATTTTATCCTGTTTGTAGCTACGCCCTTCCACTTCAATAAGCAAGACAGTTTTTCTTCCATTTGATTAAACTCCATCATTTGGCTCATAAACTGGTACCTCTGTCTATCCAAATCCTGTCTGCTACAGCTCTGCCCAGGCGACAGCCTGTGTCAGTTTAACAAATCACAGGTGACGCCTGCCCTGTGTCAGAGACAGACAAAGCCAGACACTGAGAATGGTGATGGCACACTTATTCAGTAATACGACGGCGACGGGAAGAGGGTCCAGCGTGAACCAGAGCCTCCTGAGGCGAACGGCTGGGTGTGCTCAGGGGTGTGAAGGGGCTTGGTCCGTGTGACTAGGCCACCTGCATCTGTTAGCTGGGCTTCTCCTACCTTTATGACAGGAGACAGTGCGCAGGCTGAAGCAATGTACCCAGGAAATGAGGCCCTTATCCTCCCCAGATGTTTGCATTTCAGACAACTCCTTGAAGTAACAGTTTTGGGTGGTAGTTTTACACCTCAAAGGGCAAAGGAAGGAACTGCCAGCTCTAAAGCAACTGCACTAACGGGGTGCAGGGACTCCTCTGCTCATCACCATGTTTTGGCTGGCATCAACAGTCAGTTCTCCTGGCAGCACCCAGCTTTCCCCGGCAGGCATTTTAGGGGGCGGGGCTCATCCGGGGACATGGCCTTAAGCTTCTGGAAGGAGTCTGGAGTGTGGTCAAGTCTCAGTGCAGGGGCTTGGAGTGCTCAGTGCCCGTGCCAGTGGTCTGCAGTCCCCTCCCAATCCCTTTCTCGGTTGCAAACTCGGTCTGTCTCCACTGTATTTAGGGCTCTCCCCTGCGATTCTGCACACAAGAGTGGCACCACTGACGAAAAAAGATGACTGGTCCCTTTTTATCTGGTGCCTACACTTTTGGGTAACAAGTCTTGTTCTGATATGTGCTGTCCCAAACACCCATCTAGGGAAGGTGTTATAAAACCAAGAGGTAGGAGAGGGTTTCCTCTGACAGCTGTCGGGAACACACTCCACAATACAAACAACAGGCCGGGTATCCATGTGTAACCAAGTCCTACTCCACTGACGAACATTGAGAACTAGTCGTTTAGAGCTAGTTGAAATACTTTGAGATCAGATGCCTATTACTTAAACAACTTAATATATCTATGAAAAGGGTCTTATATAGAAAAGATTTCTAAAACTTTTTATGCAAAGTAACTGAACTTCTCAGCTCTTTCATTCTTAAATGGCCCCTAGAAACATATGTTTGATGTTTACCTGATATATTTCAGGAACAGCAAGAGAAACCGACACTGACACCTGATACTGGTGGCACCCTCACGACGTGCGAGTACTCTTCTAAGTACCTCATACGTCACACGCAGTCTCCACGACAACCTGGAGGGACGAGCCCTTATCTCTGCTTTTCCGCCCTGCTTTTCCGCCGACGAGCTTGAGGCACAGAGAAATGAACTTGTCCCCGGTACGCGGCAGGTGAAGGGCAGGCAGAGCCAGGGCGGAAGCCCAGCGTCTGGCTGGCAGGCCTGGGCACACACCACCGGTAGCTGCGGCCGGGCAGCGGAGCAGGGAGGAGGCCCCTGCCTTCCCTTCTCTTTCCTGGGCTGTTCCGCAGACCCTACCCCCGGCTCCCTCAGCAGAAGGTCGCTCAAGTTCATTCTGGCATCAAGGTTTTTGGTTAAAACTTGAGAATGAAAAGGTCTACTATTATGTTGATATGTCATATCTACCAAATCCTAACCGTGGAAAGGAAAATCTTGAGGTCATGGAAGGAATAAGGTCTTTTTAAGTAAAGTGCACCCTTGTTCAGAAACTCATGAGAGTTAAAATAAGCTAAAAAAAAAACCCTCCAATTTAGGATAATTTTTATTTACAAAACAGGTCGATTCTTTTGTTTTACAAAAATGACAAAAATAGAAACAGCTTCTCAGACTCTTCGGAACTACTTTGAGGCAACTAAGGAATTAGAACTCAGATGGTTTTCTTAAGAAGAAACTTCTTAGGAGTTGTAACAGCAACACTTATCAGTGCTTTACGTCTTCCCCCAGCACTACACGGCTAAGAGTCGTCTCTGGGAGGCCTCCAGTCAGGCCAGAGTCTGAAGGAGCAGGATCTTCTCGTTGACGCAGAACCTGTGCAGCACGACCAGCAGGTTCTCCCCGCAGCGGGACACCTGGCGCTCCATGGCCAGGCGGAAGTCCTCCTTCACGCCCTTGGTGATGCCCCGAGTGACCGTGTGGTGCCTGAGGGCAGCGACAGGGAACAGAGGGACACCATGGTTAGCACGGCATCACCGGTCAGGGGCTCTGGGGGAGGAGTAAAGCCTGCCTCAAATCTAAGTGTCAGTAAGGAAAACATGAAAGAAAGAAAGAAAAGCCCTAAGCAAACAAGCCCCTTTGCCCATTCCTTCTCAGAGACTGACAACTAGAGAGACCTCTTTCTCCCTCGGTTAGTAACATGCCGCCTGCTTCGCCTTGGAGCCCTGCAGCTGACACTATGCACCCCAATGCTGACTGTACACAGTGCAGCCACTGGGGCTGACTGGGACCAGGCCACGCTGGCCTTATAGATGCGGCAGCAGCAGGAGGAGGGAAACCACAATGAGCCTGTAGCCAAACTGGGCTTAGCCTGTGCCCCTCGGGCCGGCATGCCGTGACAGGCTGAGGGAGGCTCGGGGCTGTGCACAGCGCCCCATTACAAAGCGCGTCTCTGCCCGCAACGCCACAGCAGGACAGGCAGCTCCCCTGTCCGAGAAGCAGCAGGATGAGCTGGGGGTTCCGAGAGGAGTCTGGCACAGGGGCGGAGAGAGACGCAGCCTCGCTGAGGAGCAGCCAGTGGCCTGCAGAGTCCTAGCGAAGACCAGATCCGGTCCTCGTGCCCAGGAGCCCGGCACAGTTGTGGAAGGGTCGGGAGGGCACAAGCAAGGTCTCTAACTACACCCCAAAAGGCGTGCTCTAGAGAAGGAAATCCCAGAAAACTGAGGACACCAAAATGAAGAGAGGAAAAGAAAAATCTAGCAAAATTCAATGGGTTCAGTTAAGAGGAAAGGAGTTCTAACTACTAGTACAGTAATTTGGTAGATTAGAGAAACAGAAGTCACCTCCATTCCCCACCCCCACTGCCTAAGTGCCCTCAGGCTGAGTGACAGGGATTTAAGATGAGATCTTTCTGTACTGGCCAAAACAGAACTGTTGAAACCACTCTAAAATGTTTCTGTGTTTTAAAACTTGTATTATCAGATAAAATAAGTAAAGCAGAAGTCGTAAAGTTGCAGTACAACAGAAGAAACCCCCAGGCTTTGTTAGACTAGTAGAGATATTCCAGGACACCCCAGTGCCCAGGCACATTTTAAGGAACTACGCAGTGAAGCAGCAGCGCCACGCAGAAAACACACTGTTCTCCGTGGACAGATCTAGTCAAGCCCACTGGTTACCTCAGTCATAAGGACACAGTGTCAGCGAGGCCAAGGCTGTCAGTCCCACTGGGAACAGACACAGACCTTTCTACGCTGCCCCGAGATGCTGCCCTTCTGGGTCCCAGACTGCAACCCCAAAGGGGAGCTGACCCTCTGACCAACCGCAAGTCACTGGTATTTGCAGACAGTAAGCTCAAGGGCACTGACGGTTCAAACTCAACTCTCCCCTTAATACCAGAAAAATATAATAAAATGCACCTGTCCTGCTGATCATGCTCAATGGTACTGTTTCCATTCATAAAGAGCAGCATAACTCAATCACATCTCTATCAGAGCCTCTACCCTCTGTAAGTTCGGATGAAGAAGAGAATTAGTTAGCTTTTGTGGTCCAAGAACAGGATAAATCAGCTAATAAAAGTGACGTTCCACCCTACTACATATTTCAATTCAGAAGGGTGAGATCTGAAAAGACAGGATCCAGGCAAGAAAATCCTGTGCTAACACGTGTCTAGACCAAACCTCAGCACTGGTCACTGATAGGAAAGTCCATGAACAAAAAGTTACTTAACATAAGCCTCAGCATCCTTAAATATTTACGACTGAATGCCTTATGTTTTATCAAAAGAGAATCACAGCTTAGTGCCTAACCTAATGTGCACTTAATCTAACACAGTTTTATATAAGTTTCATTTTTTTCCAGATCCATAATGATTTTTAAATCGAACACAAAAACACTGGCAACTTATGGAAAAAAATAAGAAATGTTACAATAGTACAACCAGATGGTTTGCCAAGGAATGCAGAACAAATTAAAAAAATAAATAAAGCATGAGAAAGAGCACTGAGAACAAAGAGCTGAAAACCATGGGCAGTAAACATGTGACAAACAGCACACTATGAGCAGGTGTTTTCCACTTGGTACCTGTCAGCAGTCTGTATGCTGGGCTGAAGCACAGGTAAGAATTCCTGCGGCAGTAACCCCATGGGAGGGCTAGAAGGCCTTTAGGAAACAGCAAACAGCAGCATTCAAACACCCACACCGACTCCCCCTGCACTGCAAAAACAACACTCCAGAGAAAATGCACGAGACGGGAAGCAGACCACATAGAGCCCTTGAACCTCCACAAGCCCCTGGCCGCAGCCGCGCTGCAGGACGGGAGAAGCTAGCGAGCACCCGCTCGCGGGGTGCGTCCAGAGGCAGCGTGGTTCCTAGTCCCCAAGCTCAGCCCAATTGAGATTTGGTATAAAAAGCAACCACTGGGGAAGAGGACGATGAGATGCAACTGAGGGCCGTGGGGAGAGGGCTTAACATTTGAGAAGCCACATTTTCAAATCCAGCCTCCTTCACTCTCCACCCTATGCCCATGCCAACCCAGAAATACACCTGTAACTTTGCAACCATCTTTGACAGGACTGAAGCCCCAAACTGAAGAGGCCCTTCCGAGAGGACTAGAGGGGCTGGTAACGTCTTTGATAAAGAAAGGTTGAGTTTGAATTTCAAAAAGTATGAGAAAAGGAACAGATGGGGGAAAAAAGACTATGGGACCCACAGCTTTGCAGAATTCTGTAACAACCAAGATTTAGTACGTTAGCTGGGTGATCACCTCCCAGAACATTATCACCCACTCTATACAGAGCATACATGCACAGGGCACTGTTGTCCATTTTCATCCAGTCTAATGCAACTAAGCTACTGCAAATATCAACATAAAAATACTTCTCTATTTTAAATACATAAGAGCAAAATGTTTATGTAACAAATAAAGAGCTTATCCCTCCTGCTGGTGGTAGGGCCCCAGCACCCTCAGTGTTGGTACCGTACCTGCTCGTACCCGAGACACCGCAACTAGGACGGACCCATAACCTTACCCACAACATCTCTGCCACTCAGCAGGAGGAGACACCCAGAAGGTCTGCAGTGGCTGCAGAGAATTTATTTGGAACCCAAAGGGAAAAGGAACACAGTTTTACTCAAGATTCTAACCATACCTCAATTAGCAAGAGCTCTTGGACTTACGCAGCTTGCTTCTCCCGCTGTAGTTTAGGCATAAGTAATTGAAACGCAGGTTTCAAATGACTTTGAGACTCACACAGTGAAGACTAGGTAAATTCCTACAAGGTCAGCTCACTAGGTAACAGTCCCTATTCCTGCTTCCAAACTGACGGGACAGCAGGTTTCCTTAGAGGCTTAATGGTCTTCTACAGGGAGTTAGAAGAAATTAAGGGTTATATTGACCCAGGTGGGGAGCGTGGAATTATTCCTCAAAAGGCTAGAAATGCATTGCCTATCTCTGCCTCTACAGTGATGTCATCTGGGTGTTCCACACCCCCTTGCTTTCATTCCTTGTCCTAGGGGTTGTCTCCATGTATCCATGTCACTGCTCCAGCTCAACAAAAACCGGCTAAAGAAGGTTCAGTACGATGAGGTTTGAGATTCAGCTGTTGATTTTTTGACATTCCACTCTCTCACATTTCCACAAATGGTTAAGCATTATCTAAGTAAAGTGAATATCACTGTAGGTTTAATCCTAAATAAACAGAGTTGATTCTACTAAGGCTGTCTCTATATCATGATAATTTGTATGGTGAGTGTTAATGGAAATTAACTAAAAAGCTATCAAAGCTATGTTTGTATATCCAGCCTCAAAACCTAGAAAAGAAATCACAACACAAAAGGGGTTACCTAGGCTCTCATATCAAAAAGTAATGTTTATTCTCAAATACTGTTAAGAATATTACTTTTCCCACAGTTTTTATTCACAGTCTTAGGGAAGTAAATGGAGATGGGAAGATGAGCATGTTCAGTCCACCTTGCCTCAGCAACCCAATGTATAAAGGTCTTGTGTTTTCTTTCTTTTTTTTTTTTTGTGAGGAAGATCAGCCCTGAGCTAACATCTGCCAATCCTCCTCTTTTTTTGCTGAGGAAGACTGGCCCTGTGCTAACATCCGTGCCCATCTTCCTCCACTTTATATGGGACGCCGCCACAGCACGGCTTGCCAAGCAGTGCGTCGGTGTGCGCCTGGGATCTGAACCGGCGGACCCCAGGCCGCTGCAGTGGAGCGCGCACACTCAACCGCTTGCACCACCAGGCCGGCCCCAGGTCTTGTGTTTTCTTGAGTATTTGTTCTTTTATGGTAAATATTTAGAATATTTAATAACATTTACAAGATGAAGGATAAGAACCCCACTTAATCTCCCATTCTTTAGAATGGATTCCACAAGACCCAATTCTTGATAGGACATAAAGTAATGTTTGCTATGCACCAAATTACGCAGGTTATAGAAATCCAGAATGAACATCTCCTACTTCCCTCTCTCTACATTTCTAAGACTCTACATAAAGATAGAACAAGATGTGGATTTTTGCTTTCAACAACTGAACACTTGTTCATTTCATAATTGAGGGAAAAAGGAAAATGTTTTCAGCCTTACCAACAGTTTCTTCTCACTCAGAGTTCAGTCTCTTGCGTGACTAACACTGACTTACAGACACGCTGAATATGCAGGATGCAGAGGAGGAAATATGGAAATAAAACTACATGCGGCATTTACAGCACAAAGGATATATCATCCAAACTACAGTGAGTACTGAAGGATAGAAGCAAGATCTATGAGCTATTTAAAAATCATAAATGGTCACTAACTTCATCTGGGTGTGAGAGGGCATGCCTGAGACTTGACACCCCACCAACATTTCCTGCAGCAGGTGTGTTCTTCTTGGAGGCACTAGATGTGGCTACTTTTCTTTGTGCTATGTAAGCAATGAGGACTGCTGAGGAGGGCTTCCATTAAACACTGAAATCCAGGTACAGTCTATAAAGTCTCCAGTTTTTCCTAATGAATTCTCCTAATCCGGTACAACTTTAATTATGTGTGGCTTTTCTTAATTAAAAGCACTCTACGTCTAATCAGAAATTGATAGAATCAGTCATAAATTTTGGAAAGGAAAAGATACCGTGAACGAGACTTTGTCTAGTGAAAAAGTTTCAAAAGTGACAGAAATGCCCCAATTTAAACAATATTTTAAGAGATACAGTTAAGGAAATGCCAAGTGTTTCAAAAGGTACCCAGAACCAAATCTACTTTTAAAAGCAGAGACCAGGTTTGGATTCCTCTCTATTAAATTTCTGAAAGGCAGAGAAATTTACAAATATTTCCTACGAGCACACAAAGGCGAGCACGCGGCGCGGAAGGGCGAACTACAGCATGCTTACTTGATCAGCATCCCTTGATTGGGCAGTAATTCCAGATGAATTTTCCCACCTTCCTGAGTTCTTAAGTAGGCGAATTCCTCTAGCATATCAATATCTGCAGGCCAGATTCAGGTCAACTGCACATGAAAACAAGGAGCCCACCCTCTTGGAGGAGGAGACAGGCTTGCAGCAATTGGGCAAGTTGCCCATGGCCAGCCCACCAACAACTGTAGGGTCAGTACTGGAACCCAGGTCCATCTGACTCCAAAACTGATGATTCTTATACCAGCCAAAGTGCCTCACAAAGATAAGCATGTTTTTCATATAGATGATAATTAGACAGATTCTACACAATCATAAGAACAAAATCTTTTGTTTTCTTTCTTTTTTTTTTTTGCTGAGGAAGATTCGCCCTGAGCTAACATCTGTGCTAATCCTCCTCTATTTTGTATGTGGGTCGCCACCACAGCATTGCCACCAACGAGTGGTGTGGGTCCACGCCTGGGATCTGAACCCGCAAACCCGGGCCAGCAAAGCAGAGCCCACCAAACTCAACCACTACGCCACCAGGCCGTCCCTTTTGTTTTCTTAATAAGAAACGAAAGAGGCAGTGGGGGTGTGGTATCCCCCAAAATGGCTAAGAACTATTGCTCTAGGCATGTGGACAAGGATATTAGATTCCTTGCAACTCAAAATAATGTACCAAGACACGCAAAGAAGTATAAATACCCAACTGATGCATAACCTTCTATTCTAAGGTGGTCTTTCCTTAATAAACGGTATGAAATATGACACTCCTCATAGCTGAAAGCAACTGCTGGGTTGGGCAGCATCTGTGCTGAGCACTCAGCAGCAGCTATGATGGGTAGGGCATGGTCCGCTAACAACTGATCCCAGGGGACAGCCAACACCCAGGAGAGGCCACAGGAAGCCCTCTTCTGATAGATGAAAGTCAATGAACCATTATATTCTATGGCCAAACCAGCCACTTGGAGCCTGTTAGGAACCTGTAGGCTATTACTTCAGGCATCTTGCATACCTTCCTAGAAGTCGCTGGAAGTGGAAAATGGAACAGGGTTGGTGATATTCCCGATTTCCTGCATTACCTCTTTGAAGCCTTTTATGACTTTCAAAAGACCAACTGCCACAGTCCCATTTTTAATCACCATTCTTTTTTTATGCCCCAAAATAGCAAAAACCACTATTTCTACCCTGAATGGTTCATTCTTTTTTGTACCATGCGTTCGTTCTAAAAAAAAAAAAAAATCAGAATTTCTTATGCTTAAACAAGAAAAAGGATACTTGTAACATAATTGAAAAAATTCTCATATTGGAAATTTCCGTGCTGGCAAATCTTATTGACGGCTTTCAGGAAAAGATTCTCTCCCCGTGGCCACTCTTGCTGAAGCAATACGATCACATGCCCCAGGGCCATGTCGTCCCTGCTGTCAGTGAAAGCTCTGAGCTGTAAGACAAGGATTTACGCAGACACACAAGGAGAGGAAATCATGGAATAATCTAAAATACACCAAACATCACTTTCTAAAAAAATGCTGTTCATGAAAATGTGGGACAAAGTTCACCAGAGTGAGAAGGGAACAAAGCAGCAAACAAGCCTGCCTTGCAAACATCACAGCTGCCTACAGAGGAAGGGAGTCCTTGGCTCCCCCACACTGGGACCAGGGTCGCTGGCAGTATGTTCACATGAGCATCTTGATGGGAGCTGGACATGCAGGCTGGGCCCGAGGCTATGAACTTGGGAATAAAGGCAAGAGAAAGTGGAGTGGTTCTGTGTGACAGAGAGAGGAATTTGGGGACTTCTTTTAATGAGACAGTTAGGGGAGGAGGGTGGGTAAGAAGCCATTGAAGGGAGAGGGGTTTCAGAACATGGGGCTGGGAGAAGAAAGTGCGCAGGCAGGAAGGAAACAGGAGAGTGAACTGGAGAAAAAGCCAAAGGACTTTCTCTTTTAAATGAGCAGCTAGGCGTAAAAGCACACTCCAAACTGTTTCTGTTGCCCCAAGTGCTCCTGATGATGAGTTATGTGTGGGAATTACTGCCCTGAAGTGGAGACCCGCCATTGCTGCTCTCCCGCTCACAAACCTTCATGAGACAACAGAGCCTGTCGACTCTAAGGCTCCCCTCCACCTGCAGCCCAGGGCCTGGCCTTCTTTCAATAGTTCACGAACTCCTCCAGCTCTGCTGGGCCTCTGCTGGCGTTCATCCTAATGCCTGCAACGCTTTCCCCCACCCTATCTTCATGGTGATAAACTCACCACCCCTCTATGAACCCAACAGCATTTGAATTCCCTTCTTTGGCAGCTAATATATTCTGACTTGTATATTAATTCATAAAATATTTACTGAACACGACCGTAGGCAAGGTTATTTGCGTATCTGTCCCGCTAGCGTCTGCAGACTTCTCGAGGATGGGGATGGTTTCCTACCCCTCTCTGCCCAGTGCAGTGGAGACTAGCAACATTCGTGAATTCCTAGGCCGCGTGCCTTCCCCACTGCACCACTGAAGGACTAAACTAACATCCCTTCTCAAGGCTCTCGAGTCAAGCCATTCCAGATCATCAGAACAATATTCTAAATTAAATTTCTTTCACACTAATCAACTTGACGCTTACCTTAAAACAAGCTAACATCAAATGCAGGCAGTACGGCATGATGGCCTTGCTGGTACAAGGCAGAAGCTTCAGATCCGAACCTAAAACAAAAGTCCACAATATGCTTGTTATTATCAAAGAAAACAGCTTTGAAAAGTAAATGTTTAAGATGCTTTACTTAAAAAAAAGATAAGCAACAGTCACATGATTTCAAACATAAACCACAATTATATTTGGTGATGGTGAAATTGGTTTTTGAATGGTCTCTTGATTTCATTATCAACCTTCTTTCCTAAAGTTGCTTAAATACTTTTTATTATAAAACATTTCAAATATATAGAAAATTATCTAGAGAATATTACAAACACCAGTGTGCTTACCACTCAGCTTTATGAAATGTTAACATTTTGCTTTAATTTTTAAAGATTTTAATATAAAGTATCACAAATTCAGTTGAAGCCTCTTGTGTACCTTTTCCAATCCCATTCTCTTCCACCCTCCCCAGAGGTAACCATTGTTCTGAATGTGATGTTTTTCATTCCTATGCATATTACATACTTTTAACACAGAAATTTGTATTCATAAACAAGAGGAATGCCTACTACATAAATGGTGTCACATGCTATGTATCCTTCTGTGAATTGCTTTTTTGATACTAATACCTGTAGCTCTAGTTTATTGATTTTCAATGTTATATAGTATTCTGTTGTTTATATATACCACAATTGATTTATCCATTCTTTTATGGTAGACACTGTGATTTTCAATTTTTCACTATTACAATGCCGAAATAAACAATCTTTTTTTTTTTTTCCTGCTAAGGCAGATTCGTCCTGAGGTAACATCTATTGCCAATTTTCCTCTATTTTGTATGTGAGCTGCCCTCACAGCATGGCTGCTGATGAGTGGTGTAAGTCCGCACCAGGGAACCAAACCTGGGCCGCCAAAGCAGAGCGTGCCGAAGTTAACCACCAGGCCATCGGGGCTGGCCGTAAACATTCTTATATCTATTTTCCTGTGCACTTGTGGAAAAAACTTTAGGCAATGATTTTTCAAACCAAGACCTTAATCCTTTCCTTTATGATGTGTGCTCTTTACATCCTAAATCCTTCTCCACCCTGAGGGCAAAGAGCAAAAAATGAATACACTTTTTACATGGGGGTTCTGTACACACATACTTACACATGTTTATACATCTACAACAAAAGGTTGATGAAATAAAATTTACTCTTTTTACTGGAGATGCACTCATCTTAATAGTATTAGTATAGTCTATCTCATTAAAAAGAAAATTTCTGGTAATTTCACCAGAAG